CTTGTAGTCTACTCAGCCTGAAATAATGAAGCGTTTTTCTCGAGTCGTTCATCCCTGACTGAATCCACAAAGACTCCCCCCCACCTGCTGTGGCACAATATTATATTCACAAATACCATCAACACATCTCAACCCTGGTTTCCCTCCCTCTGCCATGCTGTGTGCAATGTCCAAGCATTAAGTCTTTCATTTCCACCTGTCTGTCATATTAGCAGGGATGAAGGTTGGAAATCAGCCTCATTTGGGGAATATGTCCCTTCACCCCCCTTGAAAAACAGTCAGTAAACAGCAAAATCATTCGACAGGTTACAACTTATTTACTCTTCCTCTCCTTTCTAGGCAGCAGGTGATATATATCGATATCCTCATATGAGATGAAATACCTTCTTTGATTCTGGATATCATAATATCATTTTAAAGACTGCACTAGACTGTCATTTTCTGATTTCAACTGACTGTTTTGGGACTCAAGGGACTTGTCTCTATTCTTGTTTTGCTCGATCTCAGTGCTGCATTAGATACTATCGACCATGATATCCTATTGCAAAGACTAGAGCACTTAGTTGGCATACAGGGAACTGCTTCTGTTCTGGTCCAGACTCTCGTCATCTCACGCCTAGACTACTGCAACTCCCTCCTGGCTGGTCTACCTGCATGTGCCATCCGACCTCTGCAGCTCATCCAGAATGCAGCGGCTCGTCTGGTCTTCAACCTTCCAACATTTTCCCACACCACGCCGCTCCTCCGCTCCCTTCACTGGCTTCCGGTAACTGCTAGAATCCACTTCAAGACAATGGTACTTGCGTACCATGCTGCGAATGGATCTGGCCCTTCCTACATCCAGGACATGGTTAAACCGTACACCCCAGCACGTGCACTCCGCTCTGCATCAACCAAACAGCTCGCTGCACCCTCACTGCGAGGGGGACCAAGTTCCCATCAGCAAAAACACGTGGGTTTGCTATCCTGGCTCCAAAATGGTGGAATGAGCTCCCCATTGACATCAGGACAGCAGATAGCTTACACACCTTCCGGCGCAGACTGAAAACTCATCTCTTTCTACTCCACTTCGAGCGATAGAATTACTAACAAAGAATTGCTAACAAAGCACTAAAGGACTGGCTTATCTAAAGCCAGTTGAGTAGCACTTGAAATGTTTTTGCTCTATGAAGCCTGATGAACTTATATGATTCTGTTTTCTTCAAGTTTGTATTTTGTTGGTCGAACGCACTTATTGTAAGTCGCTTTGGATAAAAGCGTCAGCTAAATGCAATGTAATGTAATGCTTTAGGCTGGTTTAGGTCCTATCTATCTGAACGCTCTCAGTTTGTACGTGTCAACGATGAATCTTCCATGCAAACCAAAATTAGCCATGGAGTGCCACAGGGCTCAGTGCTTGGACCTATTTTGTTCACACTATATATGCTTCCGCTAGGCAATATTATAAGGAATCATTCTGTAAATTTCCACTGTTATGCGGATGATACTCAACTATATTTATCCATCAAGCCTCATAAAACCAATCACCTAAATAAAATTCAAGACTGCCTCAAGGACTTAAAAACGTGGATGACCTTACATTTTTTTATGTTAAACACGACCAAAACTGAAGTTATTGTACTCGGCCCAAAGAATCTACGAAACAAACTATCTAAAGATATACTAGTTATGGATGGCATTCATTTGGCCTCCAGTGAGACTGTAAGGAATCTTTGTGTTATATTTGATCAGGATTTATTCTTTAACGCCCACATACAATCAATCTCAAGGACCGCCTACTTCCATCTACGCAACATTGCCAAAATCAGGCATATCTTGCCTCAAAACGATGCAGAGAAACTAGTCCATGCATTTGTTACTTCTAGGCTGGATTATTGTAACTCTTTATTATCAGGGTGTACCAAGAAGTCAGTCAAGTCGCTTCAGCTGATTCAAAATGCTGCAGCTCGTGTACTAACCAGAGTTAGGAAAAGGGACCACATTACTCCTGTTCTGGCTGCCTTACACTGGCTCCCTATAGAACACAGGATATAATTTAAAATTCTTCTTCTCGCCTACAAAGCCCTTAATGGGCAGGCGCCATCTTACCTTAAAGAACTCATTATACCCTACTGTCCTACTAGGGCATTGCGTTCCAAGAATGCAGGGTTGTTGGTTGTTCCTAGAGTCTCTAAAAGTACAATGGGAGCCAGAGCCTTTTCTTATCAAGCTCCACATTTGTGGAATCAGCTTCCAGTTTGTGTTCGGGCGGCAGACACCCTATCCGTTTTTAAGAGTATGCTTAAGACCTTCCTTTTTGATAAAGCTTATAGTGATAACATAAAATAATCTAATAAGAGTGCATTGACGTAGATACGTTGTGCCTCTTCACCTATACATTTTAGTTCTTACTCTTTCACTTAAATCCTAAAAACTTAGATCTTATATTTAAAACTTTATCCAAACCTTTCCCCTCTATGACCTCTCGAGGTTTATTAGAGGGTAACAGGTTGCAGAGAACGCCTAGCCCGGCCGGGGAGTGTGGAACGTAGTCACTGACCCACTCCTACCTCTGACAAATTCAGGTTCCAATGGGGACCTTTTTCCCTGTGTGTGCCTCTCCACCTCTGTTTCCTACTTCTTACTTGCTACCCTTTTCCCTCAACCTATCCTAAGGGAGTGCATGTATGTAGACACGTTAGTTTAGCTGCTATAGGCTTGGACTGTTGAGGGGGGCACCTTACTCCGTCTTTCTGGCTGTTTGTACCTGTGTACTCTCATGTTCCGATACACATAGTTGATGATTATTTATCAAAGTTCTCATTGTGTATATATTAAAATCATCCAAGGTCAACATGGTAATGACCTCTCATGTTAAGACAACATGTACAGTATGGATCTACTTTAGACTCATTATATATATAATTAATTGTATTGTTATTTTTCAATTTTGAAATGTATTACCTCTTTGTGTATTATCTAGTTTCCCAGTGATTGTGTGTGTTCACCTGTTGCTCTTGTGTTTCTGCTTGCCCCTCCAGCAGTGTCATCTCTTGAGATTTGTCGTGTGTCGTGTGCCCTTGTCCTACTTATTGGGTCGTCGACGTTGTTTTCCCATGCATGTTCCCGTTGGTTTTCCCTGGGCTTCTTTACCTCGTGTTCTTGGTTTTGTTCCCGTTCCCCGGTTTGTGCATGTTCAGTTTTTCCTTGTTTCCTTGGTTATCGTTTTGTTTGTGTCTTAAAGCTTTTTGTTCAAACTACTTGGCCTCTTGTTTTGTACTGCGTTTGGGTCCTGCCTTCTTACCAAACACTGACTAGTGTATTCTTATTATCCTTGGCTGAACTGTGACCCGTCTTATTCTGTATTTCACACCTGCATTACATTTTATAATTAACCTGCACATTTATTGGAACTGTACACTCTTAGTTCAATCCATTTCCTATTTTATTTATTAAGTCATTTATATTGGCAGTATACAGTCCTCCATTCGGTTAAGGTACTTTAGTAACAATGCTTATATATAAAATTGTAAAAACAAGAACAGCAGTTACTTAAGAAAAAGTGTTTATGTATAATGATGAAAATGTAATTGCAATATTCAATCAATCAATTTTGACTGTTAAATACTACATCATTATATTACATGCATTTATGTAAAAGCAGGATTTTACTTTAAGGGTTGGTTAAGAAGGAGCACATGTACAAAAATAAAGATTATTATTATTTTCATCATTAATCAATTAATTGTGTTGGTTTGTAAAAATGTGATGCTGCTCTCGACACATTCATTTCCCTACTGGAATGAGTACAAGTTTATATTTGATCTAGCTATTTGGTAAAATATCTCGGGATGATTTTCTTCAAATCGCCCAGTCATACTCCATGCAAGGATGTGACTCAAGCAATGTCTTCTTTGCTAACTGCATGGTCACAGGCGTACCCACGGCATCGACCCGACGGCTGTCTGGTAATACCTACAGTCTATGGGTAATACTCACTGCAGCGTCCTTTAGGGCAGGTCACAGAGCAGTCAAAAAAAGAAAGAAAGAAGGGATCAAGTGAGGAAAGAAACAAGTGTGCAGGGAGGGAGTTAGGAGAGGAGACGAGGAGGAGGATGCTCTCTGTGGTCCCTCTGTTCCCTGCCGTCACCAGGGAGAGAGGTGAGGGGGCTGGTTGTCATGACGGCAGTTGTCATGGCAGCTGGACTGGGTAATAAACAGGAGTCTGTCCAATCTGTCCAACCAGTGGCTGCCGCGGCAACCGCTCACAAGATTCATTGATGTACATTTTTGGTTTTTATTTTATTTGCCTTTGTTTTTCCATATTCCGATGTTTATTTATTTTACAATGTATGGTTTCTGTAGTGAGAAAACTTAACAGCCCTTGGGTGATGAGACGATTATCTTTAAATAAGCCCCATTTAATTTTTACAGATGCTTTTCCCTTTCCTGTAGTATGTGTTATAGGTTTATGTGCATGCAAATGGTCTGCAAAGGCTCAAATCCCAAAGTTCCTCTCCCTCAGGCACTTCCATTATTCAGTTTGAGGTTTTTCCAAGGACAAAAATGCCAATAAAAACAAATCCTATATGTTTTCATGCAAGTTGTTTAGAGACCAATGGATTATAAAAGCACATGTAAGTATAGCTAATTGTGTACGAATGCTGTCCATTTCCACATCTTTGATACATTATGGGTAATATTTTAACTTTTTAAGCCAGCAATTCCTCTTTATAAAACCTAATTAAAAAAAATCTATTCTTATCTTTTTACACTATTTGGTAAATTATGTTACTTTAATTTATGTGAAATTGTTCCAGAGTATTCCTTTGCCCATCATTCAGACTTCCCAGTGTGCAGCAGTTCCCCTTTAATTTCCCACTGTTTTACGGCTTCATATAATTCCTGATAGCTGTTTTATGATGTCTTAAATTTGCCGAACTTAATCAACCCCTTCTCAGGCATGCTTTTAATACTTCAACAAGCTTAGAGTCAAATAATTAGAGCAGGAGGTGACACAGTTAATCTTCAACGCTTTAATTGACTCCATAGTTTGGCTTTATTGCAGATCTAGAAAAATGAGATGGCAGTTCATACGAACTTCTCTGAAGATTATCTACGGGAAGACAAATTAAAGCCACTTGAGCAGTAGAATAAATTTGTTAAAAAAAAAAAAAACATATCAATAAAATAAGACTAACTAATAAGCTGACTCCTGGAGGGGTTCCAAACCAAACTAAAAATCCTGATGGAATCTGCGAGGGAGGGTCTCCTTCCTCAGCTGCAGGGTGGGAAACGGGCTCATCTTCCTCCCTTATCACAAAATGTGGTCTTCATCCTCGTCCTCGGCTCTTAGAGCTGCGCTACGTCTCGTCAGTCCTCGTTTCCCTCACCTGCTAGTCCATCGGTTCCTTCATTGGTTCTGATGTTCCAATTTTATCACCATTCTCCAAGTCCATGTGCCCCGCATCTTTCCCCACTTCTTTCTCCTCTCCTTTCTCCTCTGCACCATTTCCCGCCTCCTCCTTTACTTCCACTCCCTCCACCGCCTTCTCTCCATCCGGGCCTTTGTCCCCTTGGCCCTGCTTCTCTCTGAAGACCTCCACGCCCAACATTCGGAGGTAATGAAACCTCTCGTTTCGGGGGACGAAGGCTCGGATGGACGTCTTCCCCCTCCAGCCGCACAGCTGGATGGGACACTGAGGATCCTCTGTGTTACTGACAACGAGAGGGTAATGGTGAGGGTCAGGAATGAACAAAGACCCCAAAAAAGGATATGAATGTGCATTCAAACACTTCAAATATAAAATAAATTACACTTACTTTGGGTTGGGAATGTACTTCAACACAATGCTGCCCATCACTGTGGAGAGAAAGAGACTCATAACTAAAAGCAGCAAAACATTTGCCCAAAATAAAAACAAGCTGTAGGGCAATGTAGATCTGACACTAACTATTATTTTCATTATGGATTCATCTGAAGATTATTTTTTAGATTAACTGTTTGGTCTATTTAATGTCACCACTATGATGTCTTTAAATTAGGGCCGGGACTCGATTAAAAAAATTAATCTAATTAATTAGAGGCTTTGTAATTAATTAATCGAAATTAATCGCATTTTTAATCGCATATAAATATTTGACCTGAGAACAGTGAGAAGCAATTTTTTTCACATGGATTTTAGTATACCATGAGGCGCATTCACACCGCAGTACTTTTCCCACAAAGGTTCATGAGAACTTAGTTCATGAGAACAAATGAAGCCGCTGACGTCACTTCTTCTTCTTCTGCTTTGGGTTTACTGGCAGGCCGCAAACCACTTCACAGCGTATACTGCCGCCCAAAGTCCCCGGCCGGAAGTCCCCGGAGTTGGGGACTGGCTTCAGTAGAAGCTGCTGGGAGTCCCAGCAGCTTCTACTGAAGCCTTCCGAGTAAATCGCCAGAACGCCGACACCTCCTCATTTCCACCGCTCCCATGTTTTATTTTGTGTTGCCATAAGTTAGTCTCTCTGCGTTTCTGCGCTGGGCTAATGCTAATAATGCTAATGCGAGGATAATAAAATGGCGGCTTCACCAAACTTTTTGGGAGTTTTACGGGGCGTGGTTTGCAATCCGCCCAGCCAATCAGAAATATAGCTCTTTTCTCACAAGAGAGCCGTACGAAAGTCCCTGCTCTCTAGCAGCTCTCTGCTCTCTAGCAGGGACTTTCGTGGGGGTAAAAAGGTTCTCATGAACTAATTTTAGTACCGGAACTTTTTGGTGTGAACCATGGACTGTATGGTGTGAACGCGATAAAAGAGTCTAACGTCCACGCTAGCTTCCACGCTAGCTGCTATATGTTTTGCATTGAGGTGATACTTGAGGCTTGATGTGCTGCGGTGATATGCGAATTCCTTTTTGCATAATTTGCACACAACCGTGCTCTTATCAACGCTTCCATCCGTCCGTTTTTTAAAACAACATTTCCCACTGTTGTTCACTGTGGTTTGTTGTTGTCTGAAGTCATGAACGTTAGTTGGTGCTCCAGTATAATCGGTACGCCTGAAACTCATCCAGTGAGAAACGTTCCGCGGTGCAAAAATAAGTGCGATTAAAATGCGTTAATTTTTTTAACGCGTTAATTTTTGTGTAATTAATTAATCTTAATTAACGCGTTAAAGTCCCGGCCCTACTTTAAATCCCTCGTTTTTCAAATCCAAAATATATGCCTTTTATTATGGTATAAAATAGACAATTGGATACCCCCCAATTTTAGGAGGAGTAAAACAAAATTCTCTGCCATTTTTAAATGTCAAAAGCTATAGTGGATCATTAAATCATTTCAATTGTTTTCTTTTGGTGGACTAATTGATTAGTAGACAAGTCACAGCTCTATCTCCATGTACGGTTTCTTACAGATCCGAAAATAACGCAGTGTAATTACAGTTCTCTTTTGCCTGGAACTGCTCAGCTCTTCCCGTCAGTGTGTTTTTGGGTCAGTGCCTTGCTCAAGGGCAGCTCAACAAAAGTTATTCAGGAAATTGGAGCATTACTCGTTCTCTTTCATTTAATGCCAGCCAAAGCCAGAAACCTCCAGGCTGCTTCCCAAAACAAATATTTAGTTTCAGTATCAAAAAGGAAACTGTAGTACTGTAGTAGTAACATCTGCACTAATATTAAATACAGAGCTTAATATGTCTGAAAGTGGTCACTGAGTTTTGAATACATGATGACGTTTTGCCGTGCGTACCCAGTTTCTTGGCCTGAGCGTGAGCGTCTGCCTCCAGTTTGCTGAGGTAGGGGTTCTCCTGAGTCAGCAGCACTTTGATGTCCTCCACACTCACCGTGATTATCCTGGAGCGGATATACGGCTGAAGACTGTAGATACCCTGAAAGCACAAAGAGGAGATGAGCATGACAATCTGCAGGCTGATATAATACCGTAAAATGGTGCATATGAAATTAATTAATTCCAAGTTTGTGTGGAGTGTGAACTCGGCCGTCTGGCTCTTGTTTTTTTAGCCTCTGTGGAGAATACATTAGTGACAGGAGGAGAGACTAACTGCGTGTTAAAAGGAGGCATAAGGGGATGATTTAACGATGACATTTAGTATCAAATTAAAGAATATGGAAGGTGTGGAAGTCTTACGGATGCAAGCCAAGCATGTCACAATGCATTGCTGTATGTACTGATGAATGTATTTAAATCACGAGGTTAGTTTGCATTCAAAAATAGGATTATAGTTGTGTAAAAATGTGCAGCTAAGGCTTCATGCTTTCACAATAAATAAGCTTATGATTATAACACGCTGATCAACACAGAACAAGTTCATTCACAGCAGATTATTTTAATTTTTACTGAATGTGTGAGGATGAGAAGTGATGTCCAGGATGCTGTGGTGAAAATACAGTGTGTGTGAGAGTGTGTGTGTGTTACCTCCTGAGCCAGTCTGAAGGCACAGCCAAACTCCTCTCCATCACTGTTGCGAGACCACACCTTCACCCCCGTGTTGATGACCTGAGTAACACAAATAAAATAATGCTGATTTATTGCAAAACACTAATGGCGCGTTTCCACTGCAGCGTGGAGCTCGCTTTAAGCGTGCCGAGCCGTGGTTGCGTTTCCACTTGGCCTAGTACCAGCTATCGGGTCCTAATTCACAGTTTTTCTGGCCCCATAAAATCGTGGTTCTAGGGCCAGGAACAACCAGGCTGAGTTGGGCTGAGTATGCTAAACTAGAGAGAGAATCGCTGGCAAGGGGGCTACAACAAGATGAACATATTTGACCGTGATTTAATTGTAATACACGTTTCAAAATGATGCCCAAGTAACAACATACTGATACCGGTTAGTAAAAACCATGAATTAATGCTTTGACAAGTCTGCAGACAGACGGCAGGCGAAAAACTTTTAAAATGCGTGTTTTCTAAATGGAGCTTGGCTAAGCTAACGTTATATACAGGGCTGCACATAACTGGTGTGTAACCTCCGCCAACAAAAGAGCACCGTGTCATTTGAAAAAAGGCGCATTTGCGTACCAACATTGAGAGAGAGAGAGAGAGAAGAAAGAGAGAAAGAGAGAGAGAGAGAGAGAGAGAGAGAGAGAGAGAGAGAGAGAGAGAGATACATATATTTGCGAGTTGCATATGAACCTATGATATGAACTCAGGGTCGGCCCGTAGCACTGGCGTAATAGATGTTCGCCAAGGGCGCCAGATCTGGGGAGGCAGCTCTGGGAGGGAAAAAAACATTTTTGACCGTTGGTGCTCATCCTAATTTTCGGCCTTGATGTAACGATATTCACAATTAAGTAAATGTAACACCCTTTTCACCCCGGTTACACGTTTCATTTGCCTTGTACGATGGGCGCTGTAAGTGATGAAAGTGGGGGATGTTGGCTTATCTGGCGCCCGCAGCTCACAGCCAAAATGCGAGTGAGCGAGGGAGGGTGCACCGGTACCGGCGCTGTTGTTATTAGAATCTGGTGCTTGCTGCTCTAACGGATATAAGAAGAAGATGTTTCTACAATAAGGTGGAGGGAGAGTCCTCTCCAGTCAGACTGAGAGGCTGATAACTACAGCTCAGTGAGGTAAAGGACTCTTTGAGTGTTTAGATAGTTCACTTTAGTCTAAGTTCAAACGGTTTGGTCACAATTTATGTTTGAAATCATTCCAATGTATACTATAGGACAGTAACCAAAAATATCCTTTCAAACTGGAGAGATACAAACAAATGCATAAATAAATAAATGTTAAGGTAAAATAAGATATGAATGAACAACATAAATACAATAAGTTACATTAATTTGTTATTGGCTATGGTAGGTTATTGGTTATGTTCACATACTTATTTGATTACATCCACTTTTCTAAGATGACAGAGACTTTCGACCCAAAACCAGCAGCTAATCGCAGACTCAACCAGAGAGGAAGAAGTAGGCCTACATCATCAGCTACCATGTCTGACAGAGGAAGACAGTGAGGAGAACAGTCAGGAGGGTAGTGACGACAGCTTGTAGGATTACTGGTCGTGCTAATGTTGTCTTGTGTTCACCTCTGCATGTGTGTTCTGTGTTCACCACTGCATGTGTGTTCTGTGTTCACCTCTGCATGTGTGTTCAGTGCCGTGTGTCTGGCAAATAAAGTCAAGACCCCTCAAAAGTTACGGTTTATTTCATTTTAAGGATGAGCACCAAGCAACATCTCCAGGTGCTCCTTTGAGAACCAGGGCAAAAAAGTTATGTGCACCCCTGCTTATATATATGCTCCGACCGTCCACACTCACAACAACGGCCTATACAGACATAAATAAACCAGCGCCTGTATTCGCCATGACACAGGCAGTCTGTGGTTTGTACTTGTTTAACTTTTGTCAAGTTTCTGAACAGATATGAAGAGCTGTGAGCTCTGAGTGCTAAGAGCTAACGGCTGTGTTGTGTTTTGGGGCGCTCATTGAAGATGACGTCACGGCTCCGCCTACACTGCGTTACTATAGTAACTACCCCAGTTCCTAAACTGTAATGGAAGCGCAGCATTAAAGTGAGCCGGGCCTAATAAGGCCTAACCAAACCGAGCGAGGCCGAGCGAGGCCTGCAGTGGAAACGCGCCAAAAAGATGCCAAATCCTCCGGTCTGCACTAATTATTATCCCTCTTGAAAACATAACCCAGGGTGGTAATTTAAATGAAAATAAAGGACTAATTATGTTACAGGAGGTCTTGTAGTATTACTCTTGATGCGTGTTGTAATTACTGATGTTCCCCAAACTGCCTTGCTTGAGGCATCTACTGTACAAGATATCTCTTGTGTGTAAACAGAGTGCAGCTGGTTTCTGGTGTCCCAGCAGGAGTGGGAGGAAAGTGTTGGCTTTGCAGAGTAAAACTCAACAACACTTCAGGAATTAATATTCATGATGAATCCTTTCCAAACCTAACAGAAACCAATAACTTTCATCTTTGTTTAATGTGATGTTAAAGAGTCCCTATTGTGCTGTTTGGAGTCGTCCCTTTCCTGTAGTGTAATATAGGTTTCTGTGCATGTAAATGGTCTGCAAAGGCTAAAATCCCTGTCTTCCCTCCAGAGGGAGTTTCTCTCCCACAATTCTCTTTGTGAAACTTGAGATATGAAGACATGGTAGTCCGGGAGTGGCTCAGTCAGTAGGGGCTTGGACTGGGAGCTGTAGGGTCGCCGGTTCAGGTCCCCGACCAGACCTAAAATATGGAGTGTGGACTGCTACGTGGAGAGGTCCCAGTTCACCTCCTGCCCAAGCCGTAGTGCCCTTGAGCAAGGCACCGGACAACCGCTTCCCCCCCCCCCCCCCCCACCCCCACTGCTCCCCGGGCGCTGTACAATAACTGCCCACTGCTCCTAGTACTAGACTCCTGGTACTAGGATGGGTTAAAAGCAGAGAACAAATGTCACTGTGTGAGCTGCATGTGTGACCATTAAAGAGGGTTTCCATCCCTCCCAATTCTATGGTACGCACTCATTTTTCCTTCACTCAGATTTTAGTCACTGAATCCATTATCAGTTATAATTTAGAGACGCGCATTGTGCTTTAGCTCAAAAGAAAGTGCCTCATAAGCAGTGTTGGGACTAACGCGTTACAAAGTAACGCGTTACAAAGTAACGCGTTAGTGTAACGCCGCTATTTTTGGCAGTAACTAGTACTCTAACGCATTACTTTTTTAATTCAGTAACTCAGTTACCGTTACTACATGGTGCGTTACTCCGTTACTGCGTTAGTTTTTTTATATAGTCAACAGCCAGGCGAACAGAGATGAGAACTGTACTTAAGTACAGTACTTGAGTAAATGTACTTAAATACTTCCTGTGTCACATGCGGAGAGTCGGGCTGTGGGCGTGTTTGTGTTGTTTACTAACAAGACTATCATGGCGGCGGCGGAGCTCAAGTCTAGTTTCTCCACCTGGAGATATTCTCACTATTTCACTTTTGTCGAGCACAAAGAAAAGAACGTTTTAGTTAAATGTAAGTTGTGTCTTGGCGGGTCAAAGATCCTATCTACTGCCCAAACCAGTCATTCAAATCTCTCAAAACATCTGCAAAAACAACATGCTGGGACGAAGCTAGTAGCTAAGACCACAGAGACTCAGCCGACGCCACTCCACCTCCACCTAAGCAACAGCGGCTGGATTTTAACCAAGGGACTGCTGGCCAGGGAAAAGTCGATAAAACCATTGCACGGTATGTTGTAGAACACATGCAGGCTATTGCTAGAGTGGAGTCACCCGCTTTCAGGGAGCTAGTTAGCATGATAGCATGTCCGGGCGGCACACGGCATATGGGACGGAACACTTTTTCCAACTACCTGGAGAAAGAATATACAAAAATGGAAAGCCAGCTAATATCGATGCAATCCAGATTGCATATAATGCATGTCAAGTTGATCAACAGATTGTATTATTCTCCAATGCACTAACAGTACTGAAATGAAGGCTATCCTTATAGCCTTCATTTCAGTACTGTTATTGCATTGGAGAATAATTAATGGGAGCCGTTTTTGTAAGTAACTAAAACGTTACTTTTCACAGTAACGCATTACTTTTTGATGTAAGTAACTAGTGAAGTAACTGAGTTACTTTTGAAATGAAGTAACTAGTAATGGTAACTAGTTACTGGTTTTCAGTAACTAGCACAACACTGCTCATAAATGAGGAGAGCAATGAGAGTCACACACACACACAGCACCACCTGGTCAGGTGCTGCAGGGTGGAGGAGAGGGATTTGGGATGTGAGAGCGTCCCATCTGTTAGACTGTTTCGCTCAGATGGATGGGTACATGTCCACTCAGTCTGAAAATAATGTGCCAAAGTAAAGCCAATATGTCTGTAGCCAAAAGCTGGCCCATGCACTGCTATAATAAACATAATGGCGCTTGTTTGAGTTCACTGTAAACAGAGCTTTCCATAAGACGGCTACTTTATACATTTTTCTATTCTAATTAAATGTATTTCACCGTGTGTGAACATTTTTACGACTACTAGCCTCAGACTTCAAAGCACAGCGAGCATGACGATAAATACTAGTCCTGTATAAGTCCCGCCCCCACATGCTTTATCTAAGTGTGTGTGTGTGCACTCTGCTGAGAGGAAGCGTGTGCCGAGCAGAGAGATGTCTTCAGTGTTTGACAAATATTAGCAGAATCATTCATTACCAAACCAAATGATGAGGTGTATTGATTAAACAAACGGGAGACTCACTAAACGGGCTACTTCAAATCCCCGGTGGCAAGAACTTGTCCTTTGCTATTTTTAATTGTTTGTTTTTAAATTCCCTGTTTTATGTATTGAGCAGGGGATAGAATATTTTTGGGTAATTGCTGTAGGGAAAAGTTTGACAAGAAACTTTAACCAAACTTGACAATTGAACAGGAAGCTTTAAAGGGGCCCTATTATGCTCATTTCTAAGGTTCCTATTTGTGTTACTGTACATGTTTACGTTCACGTCTACTTTTCCCACTGAATGGCTACCCCATATCCTTATGTAAAGCTCTATGTATAGTGTGATCAATACTGCATCCAGAAAATAATTGAACATTGATTTGTTTTATCTATTTTTAAATCGTATTTCCATGGGAGGAAATGCTTTGTCATCATCGACCCAGGCTTTCGACATGTGCAATGATCTAAACAAACAAACAAACACACACACACACACACAGACAGACCTTCATGCGCTCGCTGTTATTGAGCAGCACGTTGCGCAGCTCTTTGGACACCATGTACAGGTGGCGCTTTTTGCCGTCGTGGGTCCTGGTCAGAACGTTGACCTTGGGGAAGGTGGGTGATAGATTATAGAAAGACCTGGAGAAAACAGAAACAAGGTTAAATGGTTGTGTCACTAAAATGCTCAAAACTATCAATTCAATGTCTTATAGAGACGTACTGTATGGTGGTGAAGACGGGGTCCTCTTCAGTGAGGAACACAAAGGGATCTTCTTTATAACCAAACAGCTTCTTCTTCTTGGAGGCGGGAGGTCTGGGAAACACAATGGAGACATTCATTTAATAGGTATATTTACATTTAAATTACCCAATACATGTGGGTTGTGTGCAATGTCAAAAGTTTCAATACACATTTAATGGAGGAACAACTGTGTGTGAGCTTCTAAAGATTAGCTTGGCCAACAAACAATCAAGGAAATTGCTTTAAAGTAACTATCTTCAAATGAGCGAATCAATGACTCATTCGGAGTTCTTAAAAAACGTTGTTTTACTCGAGTCCAAGAGAGAAAAGTCTTAATGAATTGATATAAAATGGAGAATCACATCTTATTCTCCCTCTGGAGGAAACACAGGGATTTAAGCCTTTGCAAACCATGTACATGCACAAAAACCTATATAACACACGACAAGAACAGGGTATATGCAGGAATCCTGAAGTCAAATGTAAAACCTTTTAAGACCTTTTTTAAGACCCTTTCCATACATTTTAAGACATCATCGCCACTTCGAGTTTTAACCGGTTACATTGTCGACACACTTTACCTCACATTTACTATATACAGTATTGATTGTCCTTCCTCCTTGTCTTCCAACCATTTGGACGCAGACTTGCATTTCCCCAAAACGATGTTGTTTAACAACCGGTGTAAACGGAGCTTCGCGCGCTATCAAGCAGTGAGCGCGCGATGTCCTGTTCAGATGACGTCAAATCCAACGGGAAGCCATAAATAAACTACACAGAATCACACTACACACCTACGCCATGATTACATTCAGGCAGACTGTAGAATACAACCTCTTTGGACAATTTATATACTTATTGAAAACAAGCTACAAAATGTAATACCTTGGAAAATGCCGTTTAATACTTTTTAATAGCCTTAATTTTCGCTAAATTGATTTATCAACTTTTAATACTTTTAAGACCCCGCGGACACCCTGAAGAAAGGGAAAACCCCAAAAAGCATAAAAGGGCCGCTTTAAATAAAAAGGATTAACTAATATGCATGTGTTTAGGAAGTACTGAGCATGCAACTAAACAAATGAGACTTAGATGACACCTTTGTTGTTGTCAAATGCAGCCGCAATTTACTTCAATTAATCAATACTTTTAAACATTTCTGGATCTTTCGCTTTCAATGTGAATATTAACGTTTTCTCCAATAACTCATATCTGTTGCTAGGGGTGAGCAACAGATACAACAATGTTCTTTTTGTGGGTGATTTATTCCTTTGAACAGTGCGTATTTATTCAGAATTATTGTTGAGAGAGAGATTTGTCATCTATTTAACATGTCGCCTCACGAACTCGCTGCCTTCCTTTGTTCATTAGCTGGCCGCATCGCCATGACTCACCCATACTCTCTCTCTAGTTTATCAGTTGTCTCCAGGGCTAAGGGAGAGTCTTTGGGTTCCTCCTCTTCTACTACTACTACTTTCTCCCCCAATCCCTCCTCAACAGCACTGTCGGGTGGGCAGGGAGTACCGGAGGGGATGGAGGCTGCGGGGGAGCCTTCAGTCTGGGCTGCAGCGCTGGAGGAGACATCCTGCCTCACCTGGAGAGGAGAGACAAAGAAGAAGTCGCAGCCCTGTTAGTAACAGGTGAGTGATGCAAAAGGGGGGGGGGGCTCTGCTGCTTCAACACACTTCAGTTCTGCTCCATTTCCCTCCTCAAGTCAAACTGACTGTCTAATCATGCATTAGGTGTGTGTGTGTGTATGTCTGTGTACCTTGGGATATCTTTTGTTCCAAGGCATCGGGGCTTTCTTCACCAGCACAGCCACAAAGAACCCTCCAGTGTTCTGGTGATGTGGCAAAATCCTCATACTGCAATAAAAAAAAAACACAGAGACATAAATCAAGGCTTTGGGGTTTTTATGTTGCCCTCTACTGAGCAGACCATTGGTTTCCAGCATTAAATAAAGAGAGGCTTAGCCACCATGTGACGATAGCTCCCTCTGCTGGCCTGCCTGGAGCCGGACTGAGCTGTAAAGCAAAAGCTGCAGTAGAGATGACATCATCCACCATTAAGTGAGAGTGCAGGTGTGTACATGCATGTGTGTGTGTGTGTGTGTGTGTGTGTGAAAGATGACGCCAAGAAAATAAATCAGACGCTTTACTCGGCTAATGGAGTTGGCATCGATGAAATCAGAATAAATTGAAAGTGTTGGTGCAGATGCGTTTTCTCTGCTTTGATGAGAGCTAAATACTCTCAGGAGGATACAAAGAAGAAGAAATAAAAGCCAAATTAAGAGAGGGGAATGAGATTCAAGGACAACTTATTTTCTATACACTATACAAATTATATCAAGGGAACATTTTTATTAAGATGGATGCATGTTTTTATATTCAAACCTATCGTTACCAAGAGAATACTTTTAACAAGGCGTCCTGCTCTCACTGCTGCTATTTGCTTTGCTTATAGAGCCTTCTAAAGATATTAAAAACATTACATGAACTAAAAGGTTTGTGGGCTACAGAAAGGTGCCATTTACCTGAAAATGACACATTACAAGGGGCAACAAAATGGTATACACTTGCTGTATCCTAACAAACAAATTTAGCATGACAAATACGTGTTAGCTTATTAATTTTAGCTTAACATTTGATCAAGTTTGACGCTCAGTGTTGCCTAATCTTGGAATAGTTTGTTGCAGAGACAGACTAATCATATCTCAAACTGAGAACATTTTCTCCCGATTTGTCTGAAAATGATATTTGGCTTGTAAAAAAATGGGTCCAATATTTGATTTGGTGGCTACATGGAGGAGGATTCGCTCTGTAATTTGCATCATTTAAGTGAATATACTCAGGACCTGACGCTGGAAACACACCTGACACAAATACAGGATATTCAGTCTCTTTTCCAAACCTGTTCAAGTGACTGAAAGGCACACTGTGGGGACCCTCACAGTGTGCAGTATTATGGCACAAACACACTGTATGTTGCTGTGTGTGTACATACCATCTCTCCAGATGGAAGTTGGCCAGTTTCTCTGGGTTTGTTGGCGGGAACATGGTGGGGCGGATCTGCGTTTGACGACTGACGGGAACCTCGGACCAATCAGAGAACCACTGGCCCTCCTTGGTCATCAGCTACACACACACAATAGGTTATAAGTGTGTGAGCCAAACAAAGCTATCAGAAATCAAATTAGGTCCGACTTTGATGTTCCTTTATGGTTTGTTTTGTTTTAGTGTTGTTATTTCTTACCTTCCAGGAATTGACCCCAGGCATCGACTTCAGCCCCGGCAGATCAGCTGATCCGTCGACCAGCTCCAACGTTCCTGGCAACGAGGACGGGAAAGACATTACGAATTGGCAGAAAAGGGCTGGATTTATATCTAAATATAACAAGTCATACAATTTATAAACAGATACATTCGGCAGATCACAAGTGAATTAAATTGTGGCTTTGGCTCGACAGCGTTTGAGCTTTTGTGGTACTGCTCCGCTTTTTTATGTTCTCTGATCTCAAAGAGAAATGATACAGTGTTAAGGGCTGCTGGAATAAAATGAAACCTTTCTTTTACAGCAGAGTATTATTAAAGTTTTCTGTGTGGGCATTCAGACATGTGCTAACGCAATATGTCTTGATCCCAAAAATAGAGTGCGCCCGAAGGATAATTTCCTTTTAGTAACATTCAAATGGATTTGATATTTATGGACCTGGGGTCTAGTTTAATATTCTCTATACCAGACATCCTCAAAGTCCGGACTCCGGTCCCGGACCGAACCACAACTGTCTCTGGACTGTGAGCAAATTATACTTTTCATATGTATTATCTGTATTATCGGTGTTATCTGCGAGACATCGCCACAAGTTGGCGAGTCAAAATTCTCCGCTATGTCCACTGCAAACAGCGCTCTGCATGTCCGACTGTTCCACTGTCTGTGTGTGTGTGTGTCAACGCTTTGGTCCAATCACATTCAGCATCCCGTCACCGTTTTTTTCCCCCCACCAACAGTCTGCGAATCAGAGGCACAGTAGGGCAGGTCTTCGCGGAATGCGGGTGGGAAAAATACGTGTCTCGTCTCTTTCAACCTGTCTGAGTCAGAGCTAGAGTTAAAAAAAAAAAAGTCAGAGCGAGAGTTAACAGCTCATCTAGTTGCATCTATACTGTAGCTAGTAGCCTAGTTTCACCTACCGGGGTGGCATGGGGTGGCAACTGCCACCCTAAAAATAGGCCTTGCCACCCCAGTTGGCAGCTTTGTTTTGAAAGAAAAGTTGTGGCTCATCGGACATTTATGAGAGAAAGTCTCTAATGTCCGAGTGCAAGTGAATGCAGCACAAGACGCAGGTCTTGTAACCCCTCCCCCGGTCCTGGTGCGAGCGTGGACATATGATTGGCAGCGATTTAATCTGAAGTGAACGGGACGGCACAAAACAAGAAGCATTCGGACCCAAGCACTGAAGGAATGAGGTATTTGCGGAGAAGAGACTGTCAAGTTTGGCTGTACTCAGCATTGAATCAAAACGCACTAAAGCTGTTGATCTTAATCAGTTTGTGAGGCGTTTTGCTGAACAACATGGTAATCGCTGCATTCAGCTGTAATAGACATGTCAACTTGATGCTCTGCTCACGGATGAGCATACAAAACTATTAAGATGATGACCTTACCTGTGTAAATATTTGTTTTTCTTTGTGGGAGTCTGCCCCCAAAAAACAGTTTTGAGTCCTGAGAAAGTCAAACACGGTGTATAAAACAAACTACACTGCCCAGCCAAAAAAAAGTAACCACTTTAATTGAACTAGGCCAGTAGGTAAGGACATTACACTGGATAATAACTGAAGTATAAAAGAATGCATGACTGAAGTGATGGAGACCATGTTTGAAGGCAAACAAAAAGAGGAAATAACAGGTCAAAGCAAATCCCCCTCTCAGATTCCACAGCAACCAGAAGAACATAAATACTGGCTGGTGATTTGATTCATCAGCTTTGTGATGGAATAAAAAATGCACAGTGCATTTCCTTAGTTGTGGGTGAGTCCACTGACACCACTGACAATGCTCAGTTGCTGGTGTTTGTGAGTTGTTATGATGAGGCAAAGGGGGAGTTTGTTGAAGATGTGTTGGGCCTGACGAACCTCAGTGGACACACAAGGGGGCAAGACATTTATAAAGCAATAATGGGAATGCTGAATGAAAGAGGGTGCAGCTGCCTTTATTCTAACTGTGCAGCTCTTACACTGCGACTCTGAGGGGTCAAGCACAGACACAATAACAATGAAAACTGCTGCATACAGAGACTTTTTGTTTTTGCAACCTCGTGTTAAGAATCTTGTTGCAATTGTTTAAAAGTTTGAATGACCGTAATAAACGGACCTTTGTCTTATTGAAAAATGTCTTTGGACCTTTAACATTTGTATTTGAGTACCCCTGCTCTATACCATTTTAATGAATTTTGTTTTCGTATTTCCTTACACGTATATATGAAGTTCAAGTGATCTGATATACACAGCTTCCAAATCCACAGATATAAACATTTTCTCATGTTTTCAAATTTGGAGGTTAGGCTTGTCCTTGTGATTATAGGCTGACAATTGTTGAATTTTTGGACATTTTGTCCTTTGGGTATTCTAACTTTAATTAATTACAAAAATGGTTGGGACATGAATTACAAGTACTGATAATTAAAACATCGAACTACAGCTATGACACAGACTAGGCTGGTTAACGTCATTTTTTAAACTGATATCCACAGTGGATGAAATCCTTTTAAATATGGACCTGTGCTTACTTTAGCCAGCGAAATAATGGAAAAAATAACTTTGATTTGAATAAAAAGTCTGAAATGTATTGCTTAAATTGGCCTATATGAGTGCGTTTGAGTGTTTACTACCTTTGCTTTTCTCCAGCTACGACACAAACTAAGCTGGTTAACATCATAAGTGACTTTAAACAAACATTTTAAAACCGATATCCACAGTGGATGAACTCCTTATTAATGTGGCCCTGTGTTGCAAACTTTGTTCATATCTTAACTGGCTGTGAGAACCAGCCCAGACTTGTTGACTTGTTCTTACTTCAAAACTAGAAAACTAACTTTGATTTGAATAAAAAGTGTTGCTTAAATTGCCCTTTGTTAGTGTGTGAGTGTTTGTTACCTTCGCTCTTCTCCAGCAGCGCTGCGATGACAGCCTCGTCCTCTATAGGGTTGAGTGAACAGGTGGAGTACACCATCCTCCCTCCCACTGCCAGCTGCTCCACACCGCGCACAGCGATACGCAGCTGGAGCCTGATCAACACACACATATGCTCTGCATTACTGCCAACTTCTTAAATTAGCAGCAAAAGAACACACTCCATTCCCTTGTCCTCAAGTCAATTTAGAGCATGAAATCCTAGCAAACACACAATCTCCGAGACTTACCCGTGGAGGTGCAGGCTGTTGCTGGTCGTCCATTTCTTCCACACGTCGATGTTCTTCCTCATGGTGCCGTCGCCGCTGCAGAGCAGAAATCAGAAAGTCAGACACATCCTCAGACTCTGCCCGGGGCGCAGAAACAACTTCCCGGCAAAAAAAGTCTGCCAAGCACAAACTGCCAAAACGCCGGCCTTCAGCTGACTATTAACATCACTGCTGACTGCTTCTCTCAGTCTTCATTACTTCTTGTCCTCCCTCCGTTGTGTTTGGCAGAGCCTCCTGGCTTCAGCGCCACAGCTGGCTTAACTCGGGAAGCATTTGCAAACAAATACAGTTCTGTTTTGGCCATAAAATTACACTGGATTTCATGAGGAAAGATTTTACAATGTACTGAGACACTAAGAACATAATGAACAACCATATATAAGGACCTGTAAATACCCTGCGTTTGACAGACAGGGTGAATAATGATCTCCATCTGTTACACAAAACTCTCCTCCAGCCAGACGCCCACACACACACAGCAGAGTTTATCAGCCATATTTCTTCCTTTATCCACCTCCTCCTCCACCTAACTTTCCTGCAATGCTGTAATACAGTGCGTGTCAGTGATGCAGACATCATGAGGGTAAAGCCCTGTGCTGACCTGCAGGGCACGTCACAAAGGATGCGGTCGTAGAAGAGGATGTCCTTCTTGCCGTCCGAGTCGATCTTGAGGGTGGGGATGCAGGTGGCGTCGTGGTTGACCACCATGATGCAGGGGCTGTTGAGACGCTTGGCTTGGTGCACCAGCAGGTAGCAGCGCTTGTTGTCCACGTCGTTGGCAATGACAAAGCCCTCTGCAAGAGTGGATGAGAGTTAACTACTGTCAAAGTGGGACGGGCTGCTGATTTACTTATCTTCCATGGTTTTACATGTTTGCGTCTTACCTGGGAATGGCACGTCGATGTCAGAATGGAGCATCTCGATCAGCTGGGCTGTTTTTGACCCTGGAGCTGCACACATGTCCAGGATCTGCACAGAAACACAATCATGTGACCTCAAAGCAATATCAGCTGTATCAAGCCACAGGGGACAAGCTTTGCAAGGGAGCACAACGGCAAAAAACTAAAAATAACAGTGAATGACATTTTAACCTTCAAAGAGGGCAGTGCTTTTACCTTGTGGTGTGACTCGATCTTCAGGAGGAGAGGAGGGATCATACTGACGGCTTCCTGTCGGCTGATGTTACCCTGCAAGGACAAACACAAGAATGATGCCCTTTCATTTCTCTGTGACTTCTGACATTTTCCGGGGTTTGTTTGACTCCCTATCCAGGGTAAATGTAATTCATTTTCAATAGAGCGGGACGGTGATTTCGTATTTTTGTAGGTCAACCCGTAGTTTAGCATCGCAAGGGATCCCGCAAGAAAAGCCAACGCAATTTTTCTATTGGATTTTGGAATACATGTGAACATAGTCTATGGTGAACAAATGTTTATGAGGACAGTCTCCACATACAGTATAAACACCACTTTTTATCATTTTTGAAGCATAAAAGCAAACACCAGAAGTAAACTACTTCACCAATGCTAAGCTAAAGGCAGCTACACAACCACAGTATTTATTTCAGGCAGCTAACCAAAACTAATTCAATAATAAATAAAAAAACATTGACTTCGAGACGAGGAAGTTCTAAAATTCTAACTCATTTGCAGGTGATTGTGGTCCATTTTTGTTTGATTCGTCTCAACTCACCGACTCAGTCTCGCTGACCAGGAACTGGTGGAACTTCTCGAGCAGCGGAGACTTCCTGATGATCTTCCGGCTCATGTTGGTGTGCCAGGCCTGCTCATCGGGATACCTGGAGCAGAGACAGTGTGTTCTGAGTTTCTAGTTTGAATCTGCGTGTTATTTTCACCTCGAGTTACACCATGAGATCTTACCATTTAAGAGGCTGTGGAGCCTCAATCTTCAGGCCATCGATCTCCACCTCCTGAATATCCTTGAAGTATTTTTCCTTCAGACAGTGGAGGATTTCTTTGGCATGGCTGGGACAAGGCATAAAGGAGGAGAAAGTGGGCATGTAGTCACAACAAGTACTTGCACCAAGGCAGCAATAATTAGACATGACAAACACAATCAATTAATATTAATGTATTTCTTACAAGCCTGAGCTTAGATCAAGGTCATGAGAATGGCAAGGCATGTTTATATACAGCACATTTGACAACAAGGCACTCATAACATTAAAAAGCAGCAAGACATAAGTCACAGGTGTAAAGTTGTGGGTATAACCCTACATACCAACTTTAGTAAGCCCTTATAATTGAAGATAAATAACAAGGTCTAACTTTCTCCCCTTGCTTAGACCTGTAATGAATCTTAAAAATAAGGACTTTGTATGTGGTTAAGCATGTTATGGCTATAAAATGGGAATGCAAAAATAAGGTCTTACATTTCTTTCATCAGAGCACAGTGGACTCACAGGGAGGGGGGGGGGGTGCAGGAGCTCCAACAAGCCGTTTAGGACAGAGAGTGAATACACATACTATACAGAGATGCTGTATGAGAAAATTGCACAATATAAATCTATTCTAGTATAACTCAACAATGGAATTATGATTAGTAGAAATGGCCATGACATGGGATCTTTAAAGCATCATGTAGGCTTTGCCCATGAAACAAAACAAAGAGATCCTGGTCATTGATATGTCGGGCTCACCTCTTGTATCCAGTGATGCGGATGGTTGCTGGCAGCGGTTCCCTCATTGCATTCATGAACTCTTCAAACTCTCCCTCAGGCACCAGGCCTAGCTCTTGGTAGTAATGCTCGAACAGCTTATTCTCCTTGACAATGTCTGCATAGCCAGCTCCCCAGCCCTGAAAAACAAGAATAATTTACAACTACTGTTAAGTATATGCATAACTGGAACCTGCTAACCAGTGATGCTTGATGAACACAGAACTTTTGAAGACAGTGCAGTTAAATTGAATGTCATTGAAAAAGTTCTACATTTTAAGTTGTCTTGCTTAAGGCCAAGGGTAAATAAATCGAAAGCTTCATATTAAGACATACCACAGTAAAGAATGATCTAATAATCAATTCGGCATGTAGTAAACCACACACAGTACTCCCTGCATGGTGTTGGGACTAAAAACGATGTGGCTTGGAAAGGGTAAACCAATGCATGTACTCAGTAGCTGTACGCTTGGCCACATCAAATTAGCACATTTCTGAACAAAGTCTGGTGAAGCCACACAATTATCTCAAAAAGGGGCATGCATCTAGCAGTCATGCTAAATAATGGTAAAACATCGCTTCGGAAAGGCGAGCTAACAGTGAAGCTGTCTGGTGTTGCAGCTGTTTAGCAGTGTCGCAGCAGCACGACTGCACACGTTTTGCAAAAAAAAACATCTGCAAATTATAAGATTTGTTGTACCATCGAATTTAGTAATTTAAGTACATTTGACCTGACTGAGCACTTTACAGCAAACATTAGCAGGTTATGCAGCAGTAGAAGAGTGAGTCTTACAGCGTTGTCTCTGTTGTCTCTGTCGTCTCTGCCAGCATTTTGGGTTTTCTGCCTCTGCCTGCTTCGTTTCCCCATGTTGGAATAACAGACCACTCTGGAGAAGAGTTTGCAAAAAGACGTGTTGGAGCTGGATAAAGAGGAGTTTTAACTGTAACTCGGATCAAATGTATACACTGAGAGTTTGAACAGGAACTGCTGCTACGCTGTGTATTCTCAAAACGTGTTGCCTGTGACGCACGTGAATCAGGACCCCTCAAGGTGGCCACATATCTGCCTAACATAAAGTAAAACATCTTCAGGCCGTTTTGGGCATTTCATGATTTTGTATTTAGTTTTGATTCCGAGATAATATCCAATATCCAATGTATGTACTTAAAAAATACTTGATTGTTGCTTTAATTCTTCAAGTGTTATTCTAGCTAGAGAAATATAAACTTAAATACAAGAGTACTTTTAAAACAAGTGTCCACATGCTCAAATACCATACAGGCATAGGCGTTGTCACTACCCGATCTGCAGTGCGCATGTGCGAGATGGTCGGCAACCCAAGTAGGACAACATTGACACAGTGGCTTTTGGCAAAGCTCAAAAAGAAAACTCGAGAGAGATGAGTTATTGTTATTACAACGTGACTTCACTATTATTTAACAACTCTTTTTATTAATAATGAATTAATATGAATATATAATTAACAGATCTGACTATTTGGTGATGTAGTTCAGGCACCTGGTATTTCCCTCTCCAAATATAATGACCATCAGAGTGAGCATTCTTAACTTATAGGCTATTATGCCACTTCTCCCCCATTCGGAATTTGACTGTATCAGAGAAGAGGTAGGCCTATGTCTAAAGAAATCTAATTTGCAATAGAACTGTACCAGATATTTCCATACAACTACTGGTTAGTGTTCAATAGCACCCTAGACAATTCAGTAATGGTATATTTTTTAGGGATTTCTGTTTTTCTGATAAATGAGAGAAAAGTGATTGAGTCCTATGTTCCTATCACCAAAAAGTACAATTTCCGTCTAAACTAAAGCTAAGTTTACAGGACTATAATTCAGTATTTTTTTAGTTAAATAATTGTCTGACTATTTGGTGATGTAGAACAGCCACCTGGTTCATACCTCAGCAAATCTGAAGAGGAAAAGAGTGATCATTCTCAAGTTATGGGCTTTTTTTGGGTCACCTTTCCCATATTCGGCCTGGTCTAATTTGGCTCTTTTTCAGGGATTGGGGTAGTTCTAAAGAACAACCAAAACACATTTTTCCCCCAAAATAAAATTTGACAACAATCAATTTCATTGTTGTCATTTGTTCTACCTCGGGTAGGGTTATCTCGAAAACCTTTTTTGAGGACTTGCTGCTAGACTATTAGTCCTTCTGCAGATGAGAGTAACACCTACGTCACTTCCGGGCAAAAAGTACGGCCCCGCCCACTTTTGGGGGAAAACAACGCTGTCATTTGAATGGCGGTCAATACAAATTCTGAAGTTTTTGCCAATCCGATCAAATTGTTTTGAAAACCGTGGATTTTTGGATCTTCAAAGAGCCCGATTACGATGGCCAGTCAGGCAAACAATTACATTCGATCATTGGAAATCGACAATCGGTCTTGATATATGGTTAAATTAAAATCAGTAGGCGAGAATTTAATTTCTCCAGCTGTTACTCTCATGAGCAAGGCGCAGGGTCGGCTCTAGAACAAATCGAATGGGGGGGGGCAATCATTTACCAAGGGGGGGCACACACTGCCGTCAACAACCAACACACAAACACCAACGCAACTTCAATTTCAAAAAACATGCTGTAAAGTCTATTGTCTTTCACACACATTGCAGGGGTGTAGTGCTATTGTATAGCGCACCTATGACTTGTGCATACATGCACGGTTGTGGCTGGCACGACCACCAAAACAGAAACATATAAGGACAGAGGGTGTCGTTTTCTCATACTGATATTCTGCACAAACTGTGCTGTTGTATTTGCTGTAAAGTGTCTTTACTGTAGGTTATTTTTTATTATATGTACAGCACTTTGGCTCGACCAAAAATCGTTGAAAAATGTGCTATATAAATAAAACTTGATTTGATTTGATATGGACATAGGCCACCATATAAAAAGTGTGCAAATGTATTTAGTATCCTATCCATGTGAACATGTTTTAGGTGGGGGTGGACCTAACCTCCTCTAGGAGGGTCTGGGGGCATGCTCCCCCGGGAAGATTATTTTTAAAATATTGAAGTTAAATGCATCAATCTGGTGCACTTTGAGAGCAAAATGAAGAGATCTATGGATAGCCTACATCTCTCAGCATCCATATGAAACAGAACTGTACACAGATTTACTTTTTCTTTATGGATATTTTACTAATCATTCCCCTTTTAAACTGTATTCTTGTGTTACTGTCTTATAGTATTTCATAAATGGTGACCAAACCGTTTGAGACCCACTGAGATAACTTACACTAAAGTGAACTATCTAAACACTGAGAGAGTCCTTACCTCACTGAGCTGACGTTATAAGATCCTCACAGTCTGACAGGAGAGGACTCTCCTCCACCTTGGTGTAGAAACAGCCCTTTATATCCGTTAGCATAGCTAGCTAACCAGATGCTAACAACATTCCACGTTACCGCTCGCGCACTCACAAAATGCGCTCGTGCCACACACAGAGAGCCGAGCTTGAATGAAACACAGAGACCCATGTACTTGTACTGTACTGTATATCATATTATTTTCGATGGCTTTACTGTATAATCAGTATAACAGATGAACAGATCGCCACTGGGCTTTCATCTAAACACACAGCCACGTAATGATAACAAAAAAAAGGTCGGGGGTCATTCGTCAAGCAACAATCAGAGAGCAGCAGTGAGCACACCTCAGGCTGTGTTTTATATTTGTATTCTTTATTTCTGATGTATTTCACACAAAAAACCTTTAGTGGAAACGTTTTCACTTATATGATTAGAAAAAGAAAAAAACGGCAAAGTGGCAAGGCTTGCCAACCCTGCGTTGGAGGGGCACAGTGACTCATTTGGGGGGGCATGGCCCGCGAATGACCCCCCATGACGCCGACCCTGGCAAGGCGGAACATAATAGTTTTATCATGCCAAAAAGCTGCTGTGTCGTTTATTGCACCTCAACCATTGTTAAAATAATCAAGAGTTCAGTGTTTCTGTACTTCCTCTAAGAAGAAAGGACAGTAAAAGAAGAGCTCTGTGGCTTCAGGCTCAATCGCCATTCAAATGACATCGTTGTTTCCCCCAAAAAGATGTTACTCTCATCTATGAAAATCGATAGCCTACTGCTATATTTAACCATATTTCGAGCCCGATCGTCGATTTATAATGGCTTAATGCAATTGTTTGCCTGTCTGGCTATTGGAATCGGGCTCTTTGAAGATCCAAACATCTCTGGTTTTCTTCCATTTCTGATCGGATTGGCAAAAACTTCAGAATTTGTATTGACCGCAGTTCAACTGACAGCTTTGTTTTCCCCAAAAAGTGGGCGGAGCCGTTATTTTTGCCCGGAAGTGACGCATTTGTTACTCTCATCCATGCTGATGTTACATCTGGAGAAACACATACATATACAGTATAAATGAATGACAGAACCAACACGTAATAACCGTAATAACATAATTGTCAGCAGCACGTAAGACCCCACCCATTTTGAATTACGTGTTGCAATAGCGCGTTTTGATTGGCTGAAAGGATCGAATGACAAGCCTTGTCAGTGGCTGTGATAGGTCCTTACTGGAGTTAAACAACCCTACAACCCTGCTTTTGACGTGTACATGCGGTCACATCCACGGGCTGTAAATAGTCTTAAAAACCATGACATAACTCGGTGACACAGCGTTGAATTAAATCACATTTTAGCCACCTTTATAGTTTGTAACATTTGCCGTGATGGACGCAATCCTATCCAGGCTCTTCTCCTCGGAAGAAGAGGAGTTGTACGTGTTGGACTGTCTGGGTTACTTTATGATTGTCATGGCAGCCTGCACTTTCGTTGCTTTGCTTTTCCAGGATGTCCCGTACGGACGATACGCTCCCAGCACCGCCAGGTTTCGAGTTGATGCCCGGATTGCTTGGTTCGTGCAGGAGCTGCCTGCCTTCCTGGTGCCTTTCTGTCTGGTAGTTTGGACATCCTCGGCAAAAACGTCACTACTGCCCAACCAGCTGGTCATTGCAATGTATTTCTGCCACTATATTCAAAGGTAGGTCATCATTACAGTCAATTACATCTGGAGCAATTAACATGCTTGCCAATTACCAGCACAAATAATGTATTAAGTGCATGGCTCCCAAAGTGTACATGTAGGGCTCTTGCTATTTCCCTCAAATAAAAATCTATATGCATAATAAGATAACTCAATAATGTACACAAAAAAATGTCAGTATCAGTTGTATGTCCAAGTAGGTTTATACATACAAGGAATTTGCTTTGATGTATAAGGGTGGATGGATACATAGTTATAGGAATATTTATCCAGAAGGCATTCAATTATAAAAAAGAAGCAAATATAGAATTATTTTAAATTAAAACTATCATTAATTCAAAAGGATGTTTACAAGCAAATCTGAAAGTTAAATAAAATAATAAAAAATGTGCAGTATATCAACATTTAAAATATTTGAAGAGTTTAAGAAGCATTGTGTGGAAATGTGCAAAATATACAGAAACATTTTCCATGTTATTATTTAGTTATATAGCTTATAGTTGTACTAGTTGACTGATCCAAGATGTCAAAGCAAACACTTGAAATAACTTGTTTTATTTCTGCTACAGATCCCTCATTTATCCATTTTTAATCCGAGGAGGTAAACCAACCCCACTGGACTCATTTGTGCTGGCCATTATGTTCTGCATGTATAATGGATACATGCAGATCAGGTACCTGAGCCATTACGCTGACTACCCGGCACATTGGGTTACACATCCACGCTTCATTGCAGGTTGGTGTCTTGTGTCTGCTAACTCTCTTTCAAAAAAGGCCAAATGAATGGTCTAATTTTGAACATACGCTTGTCTTGTTGACACTTTTTCATGATGTAAAATATATCTGGTGTGGCTTTGAGTGTGAGTCATATTAAGTTTATGTATGTGACATTAGCATATGGGAAGTGAAGAATTGCTCATATTTATATATTGACAGATGTTGAAGAAACAATTATTATACATACATCCGGTAGGTGCAAGGCTATAGTGCATAAGGTAACGCCTGCACACAACAGTATATTATTGATTACTTTCT